TACCAAGAATGGAATGGCTCAAGTGACTTCTCTGTTGTTTTGAATGAAGACTTCAAGCAAGACTAGATGGAAAATACACCTGTGTGCAACAGGCTGTTGAGATCTGACCTGGTACAACTGGATGAAACTGTATGGTGTGTTAGACTCATGGTGAGACTACAGAATCTATGGAGCTATTTATACCTTCAAGTCTGTAAAACAAAATTACTATCTCAGATGATGGGAGGAAAGAGTTATAAGTTGTGCTCCATGTCAGGCAAAAGGTCTGGGCAGCTGTAAAATGTCTGTTTCAAAAGCTTCCTTTAAAACCCCCCAAAGGTGGGGTTTTTCCCTCCATCCATTATTAAGACTAAAACACTGCGTGGCAATGACTGATTTATTCTTCCCTGATTCTAAACCATGTCCTGACTCTGCCAGAGAGGACTAGCACGCAGTGCAAATTCTCTACTTACAGAAAAGAGTAAAAAAAATCTTTCCTGTATACTTAAATAGTTCATATAACACGTGAACATATTAAACCCCCCCCGTAAGAGCAAAGAAGAAATATAAAAGTTTGCAGGATCTTACACAGCCACTGCAGGACATGACAGGAGAGAGTCAGCACTGAATGGTCTGTAGTCTGTGTCTGTGTCTGTTTCTGTTCCTGTTCCTATCAGAAATAACAGAAAGCCAAGTAACTTCTGCTTGGATTTTGGAATTCATTTTTCTGTCCAGGAGTAATTAACAGTTTTGGGGACAATTGGGCTGTAATGGCTCTGGTTGGGAAGGAGCTAACTTGCTTCATGGTCCTGTGTTTCCTCTCTACCACCTTCTGATTTTCCTGTGGCATTTTACAGCTCATGTCTAATAACTTGTGACTGATAGACCTTAAAGGACCTTAAAATAAGGGACATTAAGATAAGCTGGACCTTAAAATCAGCTAGGACCAAGGCAGTGCAGCTCTGCTACGTAGGAAGGCAGAGGTGGAGGGGCCCATCCCAACAGGGGGGCTGTGGGGCTCATCTCTCTGCTGTGGGGAGGTGTCTGCAGGTTTGGATGGGACTGGAGAGTGTGTAACTCAGGGTGGTGGGTGCTGCTGATGAAATCTCTCTTGGACATAAGTAAACAACCCCACCTCTCCACAATGTCACAGAATCATAGAATGATGAAAGATAACAAGTCCCTGATAACCTGACATGCCATGTCTGTGTTTATCACAGACTCCTCTCAGCTGCTGTGAAGGTGGCCCTTCTTAAGAACAAGATGTTTCCTCTGACCTTTCCACTGCAGATAGGAGCTATGCTGCAACCTGAGATCTGTACTTCTGATACAGGTCCTGCAGCCAAGCCACTATCAGGTCTCCATGTCAATGTCCTGAATGGTACCACTTAACTGATAGGGTGCAGACCCGTAGCCCACGGATCAGCCTCCTTAGGTCAGGGAGAGGTAACACTGAGGTCGGTGTGGTTGATCGCTGCTGTTTCCTCCTGGGAGAAGAGAGGTGCTTGCAGAGTTGTCATAGTGGACCGGCTGGACAGATATAGCAAAACCAGAGGTGCACGCTCCTGGCCACCAGACTCATGCTGCAACACCTTAGCCGGCCCTGGGCTGTCACAAGGACATGGGCAAACGAGATGTGGTGCAGTCAGGCTGTCAGCTGTCCTGTGTGAGGCTCCCTGTAGGTCTATGTGCAGCTTGGGGACCTGGAGGCCTCCATTTCCTGGTGGCCAAGCTTGGCTCCCCTCTGGCATTTCCCTGAGCCCAAGGTTTCCAGACAGTTCCCTCAAACGTAAACTGCATTGTCTCTTACCTCAGGAATAGCCTGTCTATTTGGGTTGGACCCACCAGAGACCTGGCACAGAGTGCAACAGCCTGCATGCTGGGCACTGTCTTTCTGTGTGTGCGGACACAAGTGCTCCTCTTCCCCTTGGTACAGTTCCACTGGTTGTGACACACGAGCCTTCCCGGGGTAGCTGTGGTTATCTGGACTGCTGGTTTCCTCAGCTGCTGGGTTTAAAGGCAGTGTGTGAAGCAACAGGATAACAATCACCATCAGACGTGTTTGCTCTGATTTTACTGTGTGCAGTGATGCTCCACAGGGTGCAGGCTCAGAAGGACATACATCTCAAAAGGCTTTTTTTCTGTAATTTATCTGGCTCCCTATAGAATACTTTAGACTACTATTGTATGTGTGCTTCAAAATAGCAGACAATTTATGTGCAGTTATGTCAACAAATCAAAACAAGATGGAATCATTTCAAATCACTAATGAAGTTAGTAACATCACTTGAAGTGCTAGTGCACCAGCAATAACAGGGTGGCTCATTAGTTTCTGTCACTTAATCCTATCCCAGTAAGCCTCCATGTTAGTTATGACAATAAAGACAAGAAGAAAATAAACCAGTCTTTCAAGGCTTCTCCTCTTACCCTGGGGACCTTGGAACGTCCCCAGGCAATTCTACCCTGACAGAGAAGCACTTGCCAGGGAGAGTGCTTACCTGGCTGAGTCCTCCTGCGTGTACAAAGCATCACCTTTTTTACCCCGATGATGGTTAAAATTCTTGTTTGCTATTCTTTTTTGCAACCCGCCCTCCCACCCCCACCCCACCGGCCGAGTCCTGTCTTCATTACCTGTGTGTTCATGCTTTGAAGGTGCAGCTGCAGGGCAGGAACTGGGGCAGCAGTGGTAACCTCACAGCCGTGGCATTTGCCTGCCAGCTCTCCAAAGGGCACAGCTCTGCTGGCAGCAATAGGATTGTTATGATTAGCTGTATCAGCTGTGGATCTGGCACAAAATATCCTCAGGCAGTGATTTGTCGGGAGAGGGAGAGTAAAAGAAGGTCAAGGAACTATATAATCTGACATGCCATAAACACAACATGACTCTGAACATATGGTTGAGTTCCTTCACAGTACACTTAAATGCAGACGTAGCTGCTACAGATAGCAATGCCTGTGAAATCAGACTTCTGAAATCAGAGTTGTTAAATCATAGTACTTGATTAGTATTGAACTGTGGGACAACAAAGGGAGGCTTCTCTGCAGTAGTCCAGACACTGCGAGAAATCCTACCAGATAAAGGACTGCTGTTGGAAGTGTAAAGCGATGCAATGCCCCTCCCAGTGAAGTGGTTTTGTCCAAGTCACACTACCTGATAGCTGAGATCAACTCAGAGTGCACCAATGGAGAGCTATTGCAGCTCAGCTGAGTCTTGATGTGTTGTGGACAGCCCAACATCCACCCTGAAACTGAGGGGTTTTTAGAACCACAAAGAAGCCCAGGGTTAGGTTCCTAAACTGTTGACCTCTAGGCACCGAGGTGTCCTAATTTCCCAATCAGTCTGAGCATTCATGCTGTATTTAACATTTTGAAGGCTGTTTCTGTTAAATAGTCATTCACCATAAACTTAGAGAAACACTTCAGCTGTAACATTAAAAGAAGTAGGGATGTCATTCCGCGATAAGGGAACGCAAAGGTTGGACAGAGTGATCCCTACAGAAATGACTCTCTGGATCACTGTGGTGAGAAGTTGGACCTGTGCAAGGGACTACAGTTTACCTGTAACAGTGGATTTCCTGGCTGAAACTGTACTGAAGATCAGTCTTGCACACTTTGTAACAGCAGCTGTGTTTGATATTCTGCACTGAAATAGTCTTGGAAGATGTCACTCCTTCATCACTGTTGGAGAGCCTGTGCACAAATTTTACATGGATGCACAGGGACAATCTTTATGCATATAACTTCTACTAATTTTAGGTCACCAATATATCTGGTGGAGAATTAGAGCAACAAAACCTTATGACCAGAGGTGTCAGTTTTACCTCTCCATTCATTAGTCATTAGGACAAGATTGAAATATTTAATGGATTTAGGGCATTTCAAAAAATGAGAAAACAGATGTGTGATAGTGCTAGCTAAAAACATTCAGAACCCTGTGGATGTACATCCAAATTCTGACTCATGCAACCAACACATATGACTTCATCTGCATATTTTCCACAATGTCACTATTTCTTTTAGTACATGCTGCCTGAGATGTGTTTGGAGGGGAACAGTATTGATTGGCCTCAGTTAAGAAATCTTCAGTTGAAGAGGTTGTACACAGTACTGTCTTTTGCCAAGCAGAGAAAAAATGATGAGCCTGAAGTGGAGGTGGCAGGGCAGGTACAAAACTGTCAAATTTTTTGAGTCATTTAAAGCAACAGAAAGAAGTCGCTGACTCAGACAAGGATAAAGATGGGAGGAGGTAAGTTGGATACAGAGGCAGAAGGAGCTGGACTGAAGCAGCCTGGGAGTGCAGTGTCCAGCTACCAAGCTGCATATTCCTCAAACCAGAGAGAGGCCCTAAACTCTAAATTTAACATCGCTTTCCTGATAGCAAGTATCTGTGAAACACGCTGGTGAAATGCATGCTGCATTGGCACCGCCAATGGGGCCAGAGGCCAGGACGAGGACAACCTTATGCTGGGAGAAGCTTCTTCAGCCAATAAAGGAAAAAATTAAAGTCGGATTGAGGATTTGGCATGGCATTCTTTATACATGTGCTCTCTTTGTATAATGTAGCTATAATAATGTAATTTTAATGCTTATGTAGTTAGCACATTTTTTCTAATAACTTAGTAAGAAGGTGGGTTTTTTCCCTGCAAGATGCTGAAGACTCTCTTATTCCTTAAGTTACTGCAATTCAAGATACCATACCCTGGCAGGGGTGGGCCCTGTTTTCCAAGCCCAGGCAACACTTGAGGAGGACCAATTTCAGTTTGACTCCCCTGGATTAACATTATGCATGCTGAAAAGAGAAGCTAGTATAAAAAGCAATAGATTTTATTTAAGAGAATTGGAATTTTCTTTGCTACTGTGTTGCTTCTGTTTTACACCTTGGCCATTTCATTTGTGAATGATTCATTAAGGTTCAAGTGATTAGATTAGGCAAATGTGCTGACTCAAAACGTAAGAGGAATGGAGGAAGAAATGAAAGGGAAAAGTCATAGTAAATATGCAATGCATTTTGCAATAAGCACTTTTTTTGCTAGGTCAAGGTAATACAGTTTTATTAGCTTGCACTAAATGCATACAGTGGAATGATGACTGCAAAATATGACTTAGAAATCTCTGTATTCAGGCTAATAGAGATGTTCAGAGTGACACAGAAAGAGAAATCTTTATGCCCCCAAACATACTTTGTATATCTGAAGTAACCAAAGTGGAATCTTTTGACAGAGGATAGATTTTTAAGGATTTATACCCTAAAATATGAAGTGATATGAAGGTCTTCAGACTGAAAGCAAGAGAAGAATGTTGAACTTCTCATCACTGAAAAATCCCCAATTTCTACCTGAGCATCAGTTTTCATGTGTTTCTTATACTCTCACTGACTTGATTACCTCCTGGAAAGACTCCCTCATCTTCCCTTATGCCTAGTGGTAGGGAACTCCAGAGCATATTTTCCATTATTTTCATCCCACCTGGCCCTGCATAGCTGGAATTTGGAGTTTACTGGTGGCACAAGGCACATTTTACAGGCAGTAGCTGTTGAAGGGCAACTTTACAGGTAACACAGGTGAGAAGATGATTGCTGACTTCACTTCTCTTTGACTGGTAGGCTGGCAATACTGCAAAGAAAAGAAAAGAGGGAAAAATCTATCTTACAATGCTGGCTTTTCTGGAGATTGAATCAGAAAGAAGCAAATACGGAAGCTGGTAACTGTCCTTAGTCCTTGTGAGTAATCTTGACTGCTCAGGTGTTTCTTGGAAGGGCGTCTCTGATCATTAACTTCTTACCATGGGTCATAGGAGGTACATTTGGTAGTCAGCTCCCATGACCAAACCTAAGTTATCATAAATAATAAAACAAGAACTGGGACCTTGGTAAACTTGAGAAATTTCCTGAAGGACTGCTTTATTTTTAAACAAGGTTCTGAAGTTGAGTCAAAGACACTGAAGGGCCTCAGCTGAATATATTGTAGGAGGCTTTCAATAGGAAGAGTGAAACCACTGGATATTTGAGGAAAATTGAAAATATTAAGCCTTCCAAATTGTTTTGATTCAAACTTGAGCTATTTATCTTACTCTAATGCTTTCACATTTCTTAAGGTCACTTTAAACAAAAGTCGAGCTTTCAGTTTGAAAAACATCAATTACGATTTCCACAGACTCAAATTTTTTCAAAAAGTACATTTAAAAACAGGTAATTAATTGAGAACTGCCTCTTTCCTGCAAGTGGCTTTTATTCTAACGAATTCACATTTTTTGTGTAAAGATTTAAAAACTTTCAACCACTTCTGGTCATGAAACATGCAGAATTCAAGCCAATGTTAAATATCTATTTTAAATTTGTGATTTTTGTTGTCCATAGTCTTCATATGGAGACATATGACAGCTTAAAAAATGATTGTGTCTTTAAATGCCTCTGTTTTTAAGATGCCTCGGGCTGAAATTCTAAAAAGTTCAAAAAACTAGTTCCTTAACATCACAAAATTCAAACATTTGGAATAGATTTGCACTTTTGAAAATTCAGGCTGTTGTATATTTGGTAAAATAAACCAAAAAATATTTAATTCACATAAAATAAGACATTGGTTTTGTATTCAACAGCTTTTTCCTTGGAAGCTAAAACAGCTTCCAAGAATGTGTAACTTACAGAATAACCATATTAAGCATATTTGAAGGCAATATATAATGTTCATTCTTGTAATTTTCCACAATTAATACATTTTGACTATTACCTCATTACTTTATCTGGAGAGCTAATAAATGACAAATGACATGTGTTTTCCATGACTCTGCATTTCAGTTATTTATCAGGTTACCTCTAATATTTCAGTTTCCTTTATCAACTACCTGGAAAAATCAATATCTGATAGGACTCCATGGCGGGTAACAAAGTATATAAGCGTGAAGTTTGTATTGCTTGGTCTCAATTTGTCACTTCAAACCATCTGACTAAGAAGTGACCCTTAAATCCCCTTGTCATTTCACCATTATCTGATTTGCAGGAATCCAAGACTTAAGCAAACATGTCCAACCAGAGTGAGGCAGAACTCATTCACAGGTTTAAGGGGATTTCCTTTACCACCAGGTCTTCTCCAGATCTTTTAAAATCCTTGGATACTTTTGATGCTAGAGAAGATGATGTCCTTTTGGTTTCCTATCCCAAATCTGGTAAGTTCTACTTTTAGGTGTTAATTGCAAGAAGTCTCAATTGTTTGTTTCATGTTCTTTTTTAAACTACTTAGGAAATGTACAAGAAACAGGGAAGGATATTTTAGTATGTGAATATATTATTCTGTCAGTAAGTGTTCAAATTACAAAAAAATATGGGTCATTTATCTAAATTTTGATTCTTTAATTGAAAATAATCTCAGGTGTTTTCATATTGGAAAGCAAATAAGTATTTATTTCTTGTAAGCAAAACTGTACTTCAAGGATTTTCCTGAGAACTTTCTACATTCAATTATGAACAAGTCAAGAGTTGTATTAAGTTATTTGTACGGCTCTTGGCTGTGGATTTATTAATTTCTTATTCACTCTCCTCACACCTCACTCAAACATATAAGCACACACCAAAGAAGCTCAGTCAGTACTTCCCAAATATACAAATCCAAGTTACTACGAGGAAAAAAAATCCAAACAGGTTATTCTAAAATTAATAATAAAAATAATATAACCACCTATCAGCTGACAAGCAGTTTGTCTCATGAGATTGTTTTGGTACCAACATTAACACTTCTCAGAGTTACTTTGTACTTCAGGTACAGCCCTAATTTTTACAGTTGGAAAATTGGAGCCAATGCAATTATTCAGTTATGCAAATATTCTTGAATCTGGGTGATTAGAAGTATCACTTGTGCACTAGTGAGCTGTTTCAATATGCAAAACATGTTTCACGTATTTTCTCAGTAACAAATCTTACTTCTTTTCTTTTCTTTTTTTTTTTTTCCTCTTAAAATTACTATTCTGCAGGCACACACTGGCTTGCAGGAGTTATAACAAAGCTTTACAATACTCAAGTTACACTAACATCTCCCATTGAATTTGGAGACATATCCAAACTGGAGGAACTGAATAAACTCTCATCAAAGAGAATCATCCCAACGCACTTAGACTACAACATGCTACCTCCAAATTTTAAGAATAAAAAATGCAAGGTAAGGCAAAACCATATAAAAGCAGTAAGATATGTAAAGTATCTATTAGGAATCTATTTTTTCTTGTTGTTTCTTAATAATTTTCAAATTATTTACAGTTTCCAGAAGTGGTTTGCTGTGAATCTTGGAGACACAGCTGACCAGCAGTCAAAGGCAGTGTGAGCAGAGACTTGGGCTAGGCACTGGGTTCTGCTCCTGCCCCACTGCTCCCACTGGGTGATTTGTGTAGCAGGCACCACACAAAATACATCAACATCTTTTCAATCAGAAATATATTATTAGGGATGGGGGCTTGTTCTCATGGCACCATTTCCTAGTGGCTGGAGCATTTACTTAGAAAACAGTTATTTGGGGCATTTAATGGCTGTTCTGGGGGTAAAGATACTCTACGCCTCCTGTTCGGGAAACATAAGAATTGAAATGTAGGAGACAGATTCAGATCACAGTTTTGGGTTCCTCCCATGCTAATGTGGGAAGCCTTTAAAAAAAATCAGCTTTGGGCCTCAGATTTTATGTTAGAAGTTCAAAATCTCAGGATTATTCAGATCCAGATTTTTGGGACAAGGCTGATTTGAATGAAAGGCCAAAATTTATACTTTGCAGCTGTTCTGTGAATGTTAATTAGTAAAAGGTTTCATATGTTAGACTTATGAGATAATATACTCGCTCATGAGTTAAAATGAACACTGCCTCTTTCATAAAACATAAACACTACCCAGCTGCAGAAAACACACCTCTGTCCACATTGGAATTGTTTACTAACCACTTCTGACTCCAGCCTAAGCAGGGACAAATACATTTCTACCTTAATGGCATGGTTACTGATGGAGAAATCCTAAAGGAAAGGGTTCTGACACTGCAAATTGCCTGTTAAAATGCCACATTTATGCACAGAGCTACTCTCAAATAAAGGAAAGATATTATCATTAATAACCATATCATCTTCATTTACAGATGATCTACATCAGCAGAAATCCAAAAGATACCGCAGTTTCCATGTACCATTACTACAGAGATAACCCAAACCTTCCCACTATAGACACCTGGACTGCTTTCTTTGACTTGTTCTTAAAAGGAGATGGTGAGGATAAATGCTATGTTTTCTCCTTGCAGCTTACATTAGCTTATTATGCACAGAAAGAGTTAAGAAATGTGAACTGTGTAAAAACTCCTTATTGAACTCTGTATTCATATGGCTTTAGCTAGGGTTTTCTTTCAGGACAAATTCTAATGCCAAACTAAACAAGAGCAAATAATAGGATGCTATCTTCAGCCCTGCAAGTAAACATTTTGATAAGTGGCTGCATTATTTCAGCACAACTGCTCTTTGCAGGTTTTTGCTGCTCTCTGACACATCTGTTGAAAAACACGTTCTCACAGACAAGTTACTGAATTCATTTCTTCCCACAAATACTCTGAAGCCCCTGACAATTCATTGATTCTGATGTAGATTTGCCTGTATGAAAACATTTCCAACCTTGTCTTGTGAACCACAATAAGACTGATTCGCACCCAGAATTCCTATTTAACCTGTGACAGAGGAGGTACGCGTGTGCGGCTCCTCCCAAGCAGACGTAGGGCAGGCCCGTGGGGCAGGCGCTCTGTTTGAGGGTGCTCAGCCAGCTCTGCGTGGGTCACTGCCATGCAGGCAACAGGGCGCAGGGGGAGAGCCACCCCCAGGCTGCACGGAGAGCTACGCTGGCAGGGGTGGTGCCTTCTCCAGCCTTGAAGACAGCCTTGGGTGGCCCTTTGAAGGGAGTCTGGATGCTTTCATAAAGCCCTCCTGCACACTCTCTGCCTGATGTGTTGTCTTAGTAGCAGGGTCCAAAGACCAAGGACAAGAGTGAGTTTTTTATGAGTGGCAGTAGTGGCATGGAAGCTGTCATCAGGAACATGTTATCCACTCCCATTTTTAGTGTTTTATTACTCTTTTCAGGACATACGTTCCTGCTATACAACCATAGTGATGACAAAAGCAACAGTGATAGATCAGCTTGAAAACTTTGAAAGAAAAGTTCCATTGCAGTCATCATGGGCTTACATCAAAGCTCGAGGAGTCAATTTGTTTACTGGCTTGGGTGGGCTTTGTGTCAGATCTTGTCTTCCTAGTTCAGAGCAACCTTAAGGCTTGTGCTTCAGTGGTTTGCAGGATCTTGCATTGTTTAGTATCAACTCTGAACATACAATAGTGAAAACAGGAAAAGAAGATTACATTAAATTTTAAAAGCGTCTCCCATTTATTTGTAAATTAGTAGCCACCTTCTATTTTCTGTGTGCTTATACATGGCATTAAAAAGATAAATATGTTGGTTATAATAGAAATTTATGTAAGAGGTGATACTGAGAGAGGGAGTTTGCCATTTTTGCTCCTAACAGCAACATACAAAGGTTGTGATGCTTGATTCAGATCTTGCAGAGTTAATCTCAGTTCAGAACACCGGTGAGGACACACAGAGACAACTGTGATGCTGTCCCTGGGGTCTCTGAGGCTGTATATGCTGTACCCCTGAAGCCAACAGCGCTCTTCTATGCTATTGTTGGCCCCATCCCCAGTGTGGTTGACCAGAAGGAGAGCAGGGTTTAATTGAACACTGTGGAGCACACATACCCTGCAGTTAGACAGTGGTTTGTGTGCAGGAGATGGCTACAGGCTGGAGCATTCAGCAAAACACTTAACTACATCTCCAGGCTTGCAACCAAAATGATGCCCATTACAATATTATATTTTTCTGGTAGTGGTTATAAAGCAAAGTCACAGTTCTGGAGAACACTGGCTGTGATTGCTCTGTCCAAGCCTCTTCTCACACCCTACAGGAGTCTTTCAACTCAGCTTTCAATGCAGTTCATCTTGTCTTTCAACCAGAAGTGTCAGAATTTTGGTTTTTAAAAGAAAGCTGAAATTTAAATCTCCTCCCATGGTTCACCAAAAGGAGCATTCAGGCAAAACAAGTACTATGAGTCAACCATAAAACCGTAAGTTATCTGTGTTGTTGGGTGAATGATGTATTTGCGTAGTAACTTCTTTACATAATGCTTCTTTTACTTTTAAAAACAATACAGTTTCCCCTCTGCTGGAACAAAATACAACTAACAGTGTGCTCTATTTAACAGATTCCTTATTTAATTTCCTAGTGAAGTGATTATATTTCTAGCTGTGACCACAGACCTGCAGACATCTTCTGAGATATTTGGATCTTGTTAGGCCAGTGCATTTTCCTTCATTACTGGCCTTTCCTTAGATTTGAAGCCTGTTTCCACTACAGAATCGTATCTCAGAACATTACTTGCATCTCTGATACAAAACCAAATTTCAACAAGAACGGTAACCTCTTTGGATTGAAAATTTCAGTCACTTCATAAAAAGGATTTAATCTGGTTTAGAGGAACACAGGGTACATATTACGAAGGGACCATTCCCCTGAGTGTTTGAATTATAATCAGAGTTATTTATGAATAAAGTTTGTATGAATCTCTTTTACATCGGTTTCCTTTTCAGTTGTCTGCGGATCCTGGTTTGATCATTTCCTAAGTTGGGAAGAACATGCAAATGACAAAAACATTCTGTTTTTGTTCTATGAAGACATGAAGAAGGTAAATATGCTCTCTGCTCTTACTTCAGAATGTAAATTAACATCATTAAAATATCAAAGAGCAAATTATGACGAAAAAGGAGAAAGAAAGAAAATATGAATGTATGTCTTTGAGCATATTTTATATTTGCATAGAACTTTATATTAGTGAGCTAATTCTGACTGCACAAATTATATAACTATCAAATCCTGTGAGAGTTGTATTTCATAGATCCAGGAGTGGGATGAATATGACATGATTTTCCCCAGGCTACAGGAAGAACTTTAAGTTCCTCATTCTTGGTCCTATGGAAGGACCTACCAAGCACATCTGTTGAGGGCCACACATTAACCTGCTATGCCTGACATTTCAGCTGAAATTTTCAAAAATGACATAAGACAACAGAACCACTCACGGTCACTGGGACTTCTGCTCCCATTAAAGAAGAAAATTAGAGGCCGGGGAGTAAAAAAAAGTTTTTATGAAAGGAAATTACAATGCAGAAAACTCAAATGCCAACATACCTTAGCTTTCAGATAATGAATTTCTGGGTGAAGATAAAACATTTTCTAGTGTTTCCATTAAAATAGTTTTGTTAATTTTGGGGGGGAAAAAGAATCTACTACAACAAACATAAAAAAGCCATTTGAGATCCTGAGTCACTTGTTGGATTTCTACATATAACACCTTCAATTAAATAAGCTACTTCTACAGAAGCTGAGCTGTGAGTACTTCTCTATTCCCAGTGAAATAATTCCAAGAGACAGGAGAGCACTTTGCCTTAACTAGGAGTAAAATTGGCAATGTACACTGTATTTGTTATCACAGACTCAGCATTTACTCATTTCTGGAAGTATAGCTAAGAGGGGAATCAGGTTTACTGTACCTGTCATCTATACAGTCTAATTACATGTTTATCTTTGCCTGAAAGCAAATAAATGTGTGATAAACTTGATATGTAATAAAAAAGATAATTTTCGTAACAGCTAAAAATCTGATAATCAGCTCAGAAATATAAAAGCTTTATTCTTGTATCTCAGAATCTCCCTAAGATTGTAAAGGAAATTAGTCTGTTCCTGGGTTTAAACGTCGGTGACAATGATATCCAAGACATCTGCAAGAAGTCCTCTTTCTCAGAGATGAAAAACGACACAGAAAAGGAAAATAGCGATCCCAACCACACCGTTTGTGCACTGACATCCAACAGGAAGCTGATTTTCCGAAAAGGTAAGTTCCCTGGGTCAGACTTAGCACAGCAGGAGTGGGAATCCAGCCAGAGGCCGCAGTCCAGGTCTTTCCCAGGCTGCAATGACACTTTGGGTCAGCCCCGGGAAGCCTCAATCAACAGGATCCTTCAGTTTGAAGGCATCTTAAAAATAACTTTCTAAGTTCTCTGGTTGCAAATGTACATTTACCCTAGAGAAGCATGGAGAAATCTGAACAACAGGCTGACTAATGTTGTTCCATGGGAGCTTTTGAGCTAAAAGGAAAGGTTCACGAAGCATTACTCTTTATCTGTCTTTTTTTATCTAAAAGTTGACCACCTCAGTCTTTTACAACATGTCCCCTTGATATCACCTGTGAAGGTCACTTAGTTTACTAGAGTGAGAAAGAGTGAGACACATTCCTTCCAAATGAGACTGCTCATAGCCTTTATCTTCCGTACCACCTCTTATCTTATTGAAATGTTCCTGAAAAAGGACTATGCTGACAATGACAACAACGAAAGATTGGTTGACTCAATCACCTGATGGCTTCATAGGTAGCCTTCAAACCTTGGCCAAGTTGGACTCATGGTAAAATCTTCAACAGTGCTTAGCTCAGATGTGACTTTAAAATACTTGCAGGAGCCGTTTGCTTGCTCCTGCTATTTCAGAAGCTTCCTCGGATTTGGATAAGTAAATCAAATCCATCACGTCTAGATGAATTTTGACTATTTTTACTTAGTTAATTTCTGAACAATAAATGACAGTTTAAAACTAAGAGTTGTTTCAATTAATAAATAGGGAAATGGTACATTTTGCTAATTCAGAATGTTTTTAACAATGAGCTGAAGCAAATGCCAAAATACAAGCTGTCAGTAAAAAACAAACAAAAAATCAGGTACACTTTTCTAAGTCAGTGAACTTTGACAGAGCTATGTTGAAAAATTTGGAAAATCCCGACAATTTCACTTCCAAGTAGTTCCTATATAAATCCCAGGGGTTTAGCTAGTTTCAGCCAGTTTACAGAAGATTTATATGTATATATTATTATTCAGGCTCTCTCTTCTTGTCCTTGCTATCTGGAATGCTGTTTTAATCAGCACTTTTGGGATGTCGGGTCTTTAGAGGATGCACGTGAGGCGAAAATGTAAGCATTGTCTCACTAAAATACGTCATTTTAAAATCCAATTTCCTATTTGCTCAAACTGGGTAACAGTTGAAACACTTTACTGAACACAAGTGTGAGTGGCCACCTAGATGTAGTTAATTGCCCACTGAAGTAGTGGGACATCTTGTCCACAGAAAGCCCTAAAGGTCTGGGCTCCTTTTTCAGGAGTCTTTTTTAGTCAAGGAGAGATATAGCTGCTTTTGGGGCACCGTTAATTTGATGAGTTTTAGATGTTGACTAGGATGAGATGAATTTCAGCCAGGAAATAAACATTTCCTTCTACTGACTGTGAAAGAGCTGAGGGGATGCATACATCTAGGGTGCAGCAAGATGCCTCCCTGCTGAGAGGACCAAGGGCTCTAATTCCATCTAGGAAACCTGCTGCTCTTCATGTACTACTTAGTGTTGTTAGTCCCAATCAAGTCTGAGGCTGAGGGTTTATGGATGATGATCCAGTTGCTTCCATCAGAGTCTCACCAGACCAAAAGAGCAATTACTCATAATCATGACCTACTGCAGAGGCTACGCTTAATACTATATTAATAATTTGTGCCAACTGCAACATTGACAAAACTGGGTTGCCTTTAAATAATTTTCTGCACTATATATTGCTAGCCTCACTGTTCTTTTTCTGCTCCTGCTTTCCTAGGTGCTGTTGGTGATTGGAAGAACCATTTCACTCCAAAACAGAATCGAAGGTTTGAGGAGATATTTAATGAGAAAATGAAACTCAGCAAAATGGCAAAAAGTCTCACCTATGAATTTTGACTTCACGTGAAGAACAATACCCAGTTATCAACAAACACAAAGCAATTGGTGGGAAATTCTCATTCAGTTTACAATCCTCCCAATAGAAAGGACTGCAAACATGACATTTTGAGGATGGGAAAATTCTGACACAATGCCAGAGCTGAACTCAGTTTTCAGCAGGCAGATATATATGGTTTAACAGCCAGGTGTCAGACCCATTTTTCTACAACCAAATCTACTTTAATATTTATTTATTTTTTTCTCTAGAGGGATACAAATGGACTTCTTAGATTGGATTTAGGAATTTTACCTAAGACATTAAGAAAAAAACACAAAACAAACCCGTAAGAATCTGAATATATAAAAAGTCTAAAAGCACATCATAAGAAAATGACCAAGGATTTGACCCCAGACTCGCTCCTTCCCTGAACTACCATTATTCGGAAAGTGCCTATCTCATCAGGCTTTGTTATTGATACTGAAGTTGAAAACTGCAGCTGTACATCTGAAGATCTGGATTAAAGTTTGTTTATAAAGGTCTCTCTCTTTTTTTTTTTTTTTTTTTCATAATACGTAGTTCTTTGATGTAACTTATTTCTGGGCTAGGTGTTGTATAGTGCATGTGTTTTAAACGCAACTGACACAAATCCACATAAATTTCTGCACCATATGTTGGGGAACTACAAATGTGGGCTTTTTCCATTTGACTTGCTTCTTGCAAAATGCTTGTTTCCAGTGTTTTGATGAGAACCATTTTACTTCACAGTCCTTGTGCAATAGAATTAAACAGTTCCACTGTGGCAAACAAACTGCCACGTGGAGACAGTTTAATCTGAACATAACTTATTTATTTGCCCTGCCCTGATAAGACAGATTTTCTAAGAATCAGCTGTCTGTGTTTACATCCTAGGGACTGTTCTAGGAACCTAATGAAGTTTTAGTGTGATGTGTTTTTTGTCCTTACCTTCCATTTGCTTTGCAGGCTGGCTTTAAGAATGCTTCTCCCCAAACTAGTTGTCCCCAGCCATAAAATTCCAAGGAAACAGCAGGCAGAAAAAACAGAGCAAAAGCTGAAAAGAAACTCGTGCAGACAAGCATGATTACTCTGCTTTGCCTCCTGTGTGCTCGGAAGGTACACATCTGCAAGGCAAGCTCATCCCCTGGATGTGGTGGTTCTGAATGCTGAGCTATGGCTTTATTTACAGTGAACACTAGTGCTCTCTCTAGCCACACATCTCACACTTGCCACCCAGCCCCTTCATTTCATGCCTTGCTTGTGCCAGCTGACATCAATACATAACGATTTTGCATCTGCACAAGTGATGTGCAGAAGTTACATGCTGAAGAGATCAGTGAAAGAAAAGCCTTTTCGACTGCAGTCCCTTGCCATTTGCCAATTGAACACAATTTAAGGGAGATGCTGCCCTGAGCACTGGTTTCTGCAAATGACCCATTTGGAAACCAGAAACTTGTTTCTTTGCTCTTCTGACACTAACATGACTTCATCTTCCTCTAAAAATGACACAAACCACTGCTGTCCTCCTCTCATGTGTCATTCTTCCACTAGTAATAAATGGCAAGAAATCAGCTAATGAAGATGCTTGAACATTTTACTTAAAGACTTATTTTTTCTAGCCCTGTAAGTATGGTAAAAATCCAAAGGGTCCTTGGGCAAACAAAGTTTGCAAGTGAGTTTATTAACTCCATTAAGAAGGAAGACCACTGTAAAGCAGCATTGATATGTATATTCACAGTATGAAAATGTGTGTGAAGGGACAGGGTGAGGACATGGCATGTGGTTGACTGAGGGGGTTAAAGCATACAGTCCTGAACTGGCTGAAGGGATAGCATTAGAATATAAGGGAGTGAGTGTTTTCCCAGCTGCCTGACCTCTAGCACTGCCTTGCAGAGTTAAATGGACTTCTAAAATAAAGCTTCTCTTAGAAACACTTTGTACTTACACAGCATTTTCAGTCTCCAAGTGCTTTATTCAAGCTTTACACAATGCATCCACACCTGAGATAGAGTTCAGCAACTGGTTGGCAGCAAGTAATAGCCTGAGAGAGAAAGCAGCTTCTGCTAGTAAAACTACAGGCTAGCAGGTCCATCCCAGGCACCAGCACAGCTCAGTGCAGCTGCAGACAGCGTAACAAAACTTGCCTATGTCAGAGGTCCAGAAAGCTCAGCTGGGCACTGCTGCTCAAGGACAGGGGTATGTGACGGTAGCTACTGGCAACCAGGGTCTCCCAGCAGTTGCTACGCCTACCCTTTCTTTCATCCTCTTTGCTCTTGCTCTCCCCGCTGAGCTGCTACCCCCTCTCCCCTTCTATGAATGTAGCAGAGGGATTCAAATTTAATTTTTCAAAGAATTGTCAATCTGGCTCCACAAGTCATTTCAGCAGGTCATGGAGATGTTAAAAAATTTTCAAAACTTCCATAGTAAGATGTTGTAAAAATGTCTCTTCTCTCAGTTTTTCTTTGGCAAATAAAACTTTTGGAGAAAATGTCAAAAATTCAAATTTTTGGAGAGAAATTTCAGCCCTAAAAAATATAAAAATACTGGTCTAAAGTGTACCTAGACTGCAGCAATATTAGGTTTGGAAGAAATAAAGCCCTGTGCAATCTCTGTTACACATAAATGGTTACAATACTGTATTCCTATTTGCGTAATATATTCCACCTTCCTAAGGGCTCTTCTCAAGACTGATTTAATTAAAGAGGCCAGCATTAAGCATTTATGTCATCAGAGCTGAGATGTGAAGCTTCTACCTGCTCTTGTCAAAGTTAGCCTGCTTTGCCTGCTACGCAGGCTTACCTGGCCTTTGGATCAGATGAAAAAAAGAGCAAGAGCATTTGGAGGGCCAGAACTCTTGTGAGAGGAACACATGAATTCAAGGCCTTGCTTCAAGAACTTTTTTTCCTGAAAACCTTCTAAAGTAGATCTCAGAGAAGAAAAGGTGCTCAGGTAAAGACCCTAGCAACCTGATTTTAAGTCACATTAGTTCTGATACAATGAGTTTGATGCCTACAGCAGTTTCTTGAGGGAAAACAACTGGTGAAAAAATCTCTCCGAGTAGCTTCAGGAACACCCTGTAGAAGATGATGTGAATCTCGACAAGTGGGGGTAGGGGAAGGAATCTGAGCCAGTTCTGGCAATCTTTGAAGCCAGAAGTCATAGGAAAATAGAGAAGACTCAAGACAGGAGATCAACTGGTGGGTTTCTTCACTGGGTCTAAGTAGAACAGAGATGCTTAGGGGATCAAGACAAGGGTTTACTTGTAATCATCTGTCAGCTGGAAAAGTAAATGTGGAAGACCAGAAGTAATTTCCCTGAGACTCGCTTCATGACCAGCTGAGAGAGGAAAGACAGTCACAGACTACAAAGAGCAAAGGGCACTCCTGCTGCAAAGGAATCAAGCCTGGCAGAAAGGGCTGAGTGTGTGCGCGAAGGCAATTGCTGAAAGACCATGTTCAGAAAGGAGGAAAAGGACTGACTGGCCATATCACTCTACCAGTTCCAGACTCACAGGTGACCACAATCCACCTTCTTTCAAAGGACCAGCAACCATGAGACAATTCTGCAGCACCTTCTCTATTAACTTGGATAGGAAACAGTTTTCCCCTTTCCCAAATATTTTTATCTGTCCTGCATACCACAGAGGATAAACTGTAGGAAAGGATAGTGAGACACAGGTGTGTGTGTGTGGTGAGGCATTGTCCTTCCTGGGCTCCCACAGAAAGGGCTTCTCCTTGACTGAGCAGAGGGGAGCAGCAGCACCTCGTGGCCCCAACAGGGAGGGAGTGGGAGCACCCAACAGCTGCTCCAGCAAAAAACCCAGCAACAGAAAAGCATGCAGTCACAAATTGCAGTGCCATGCCTCCTTTCAGCCTCTTTCCGAATTGGTCCCACAGGCCAGTGCTAAAAGGAGAAACAGCTGTCTTGGAAACAACTGCAGCCCCGTGGCACCAGAGACATGTCCACGCTGGTGCAGGCTCTGCAGCCATCCAGGTTTCCTGCTAGTGAAAAGGGAAGCAGCACTGCCTCTAAAGAGAACAGAAATGTTTGTTCTTCACTGACATCTATTGACTGCAGCGTTTTAACTGCAAAGCACTGCAAAAGAACTAGGCATTAATTTTCAGAGGATGCTGCAGGGCTCAGAAGCAGACTCTGAAGGGGATCAGGCACAGGTTTGAAGGCAGGTCTGTCTCTGGGACAGTCCTGACACACAGCCTGCTTATGAAGTCTTTCATTCCTGACTGCCAGTGTCTAGAAGGATGTATCTGGGAATGATCAGTCCACACCACTGAGAATCTACTAGCAGCCATAGTAGAGACAGGATGATGGGACACATGATGGCATTCACACGTAAGCAAATAATGACACACTCAGGAGTAATAAAAGCAGATTTTCCTTTTCTGACTGCAATGCCTTTTACTAAAACGAAGGATAACTGGTGGTTTGTTCTCTATCATTTGTGACCTTGGTAAACTACTTGGATATAATCCAACAGCTAGATACGTATCACTGTGCTGATCAAACTGCAGTTAGTTGCCTAGCTACTTAAGAGGAATAAAGAATTAATCAATCTACAGCATTGCTTACTGGCTAAATTAAGGATTTACCTACATTACAATAAAGAAAAAAAAAAAAAAAAAGAAAAGGTACAGCAGAACTTCACTGGTACGCAAATGAAACACAATATAAAGCTATCTCATATATTTCTGTGCTATCCAAGCTCAGACACCAATGACAGCATCTTAACTGAAGCAGCACCGACTTAAGTCCCCTGCCTCTTGGCAGGGGCATCAGTACAGATGCACTGCAAGACACAAGTCCAGTTGGCTCGTCATTCTCTATGCAGCCATGCACTGCCCACAACTTTATCCTGAAACCCCCTGAAATCTCTTGGTTTCCATTACAAATCAAATGTGTGCTTTCTTTAAACCAAACTGTATTGGTTTAACCCCAGCCAGCAATTAAGCACCACGCAGCTGCTTGCTCACTCCCCCTGCATCAGGATGGGGGAGGCAATCAGAAAAGTAAAAGTGAGAAAACTCGTGGGTTGAGGTAAAGAGAGTTTAATAAGTAAAGCAAAATCCATGCACACAAGCACAGCAAACCAAGGAATTCATACACCAGTTCCCATGGGCAGGAAGGGGCTCAGCCATCCCCAGGGCAGCCGAGATCCATCACGTGTAACAGCTACTTGGGAAGTCAAACACCATCACTCTGAATGTCCCCCCCCTTCCTTCTTCTTCACCCCAGCTCTATATGCTGAGCATGACATCATATGGTCTGGAATATCCCTCGGGTCAGTGGGGGTCAGCTGTCCCAGCTGTGTCTCCTCCCAACTTCTTGTGCACCCCCAGCCCACTTGCTGGTTGGGCGGTGTGAGGAGCAGAAAAGGCCTTGGCACTGTGTAAGCACTGCTCAGCAATAGCAAAAACATTTTTGTATTATCGACACTGTTTTCACCACAAATCAAAAACATAGCCCCATACCAGCTACTGTGAAGAAAATTTACTCTATCCCAGCCAAGACCAGCACAAACAAATAAGGAACTTGGGCAGCCTTGCTCGTATGAGTGGCAAGGCGCTCAGTGACATGGTGGTAAAAACCTGGCAGTGCATAAAGCATACAAGAGCAAGAAGTAAAAAGCAGCATGGCTTGCAGACAGCCAGCAGGTTTTTTTTTACAACAGGAGTGCACAAAGACACAAGGATGTTGATATGCTGATGTGGCAAGTCAGAACTAGGGCTTGTTTGCAAGTCATCAGAACTACCACCTGTAAAACCTTTTCTGGCACAAGCATAGCTCCCCCTCCTTTAAGGGAGCACATGGAAGCATGCATAGAACTAATTAATCCAAAGGCAGATCACAACAAACATTCTGAAGAAATCTTTGAAGTTCATTAAATCAAATGAATAGGGGGCGGTTAATATTTGTCTAGGTCGGATTACTTCGTCCCATTCCCAAGGTTTTTAGATCTGGCTTCACCTAATCAATCACAGTATTTCAGCTGGGCATTATTGATCAGAAGGATCCGTGACTTGTGACACACTCCCTTCCAACCTGAGACTGTGTTTCTGCGGACAAGATGTTGCCAGGAAAAAAAGGTAAGAAAATAAAAGTAGTAAAATTCTTAGACGGAGTGTACAGGCAATAAAAAGTTGTTCAACTACAGCCTTCGTTAATAATTATGTCCCTGGAGAGACTATCTCCATGTTTAACTTTAATACAAAAACGGCCATACTGGCTCAGATATACATTAGTTTAGCCCAGAAACTTGTCTGCAAGAGTACATGAACAAATAGGACAAGCACATGATTTTTCCTGAGTATTCTCCCATCATCCAATTACATTCTGTCCAACAACTCCCTAAGCAATTTACCATTAGTATCTATGACTGATGGATGCTGATTCAGCTGATTTCACACTCTGACACAGTTCTGAGTGCACTTTTGCCCTATTTTCAATGATTTAAGATTAGATGATTGATTCCTACTGGTAATAGTAATGCCATGTCCTGCTTCTCACTGTGCCAGAGCTACACATTGACATTTTAGAAGGAACCACTGATATATATTGTGAAATAAGGATAAAAATGCACTTTGGTATTTCCCATACAAAAAATAAGATGAAGAAACCAAGGAACCATATCAGGTGTCAGACTCATGGAACACATGGCCAAAGGCTGTTTTAAGTGTGCTGAGGCTTTTAAAGTGCCTGTAAGCCATGCCCAGCTTTGGAAATCCACGAGCTGCAAATGTTTCAGGGCCACAGGTAAACTGGAAAACACTGTCAAATACAACATGGTAAATTTATGTTCCTCAGGCATCTGCTTTCAGTCACTACTAGTTTCTTCAGTGGTCTTTCCCTACCTCCCTGTCCCTCTTAGTTTTACAGACATCAAACACAAATCCCTTCAGTCACCTTTCTTCCAAAGTGAAGAGTTCTTACTCGGCTATTGCACACACTGAACCCAGTTCTTTCCTTTCATCATCCATTTTATCCTCCCACAAACCCTTTGAGTGCTACAACCTTTTTAACATGCAAGAAACAAATCACAGTATTTTACATATGGGCAAATCACTGACGTATACAGTGGAATAATTACTTTCATCCTTTTCGTTCTATATGGGTTTTCTATTAATTCCTAAAATTCAGTTTGCCTTTTTAACTGCTGGCACATACGTCAAACTAGTAAGTATTTTTCTGGATTATAACTTCTTAGTATAAATGAGTATTTTTTATATATGACATTATGATTGTTTTTCTATTAAGCTCATCTTCTTATACAAATCAGCCCTGGTCTTTACTAACCTGAATAATTTGGCATCATTGCCTCCAAATTGCCCGCTGCTCATTCCATTTGACACCATTTTTACAAACAATTAAAAAAATCCTTCCATCTGCAAAAAGAAAATAATGGCAACGGTTTTAGGGTAAGTGGTCTGTAATGCTAGAGGTGTGGGAGAGTCTCAGAATGGAACTGCTCCCAACAATTTCTCTTCCCTCCAGTATCTCTAGCAGTGGGAAAGCTCTATTAAACCAATGCCACATACATAAATGTACGTAGGATCAGAAATGGGGATAGGCAAACCTGTCCAAGAATGAGAAGCAAACCTGCAATCCAAGGATTTTTCAGACAAGTGCATTAGTGACAAGTTTTTATAACTCATTTATGCAACAGGTTCAGACATAACAGTATTTTTCTTCCACTGGACATACCCTATTATTGCTCTTATAATGCTGACATTTAGGATAATTAGTCCTTCTGGGTCTAACTAGACTCATTTAGAGTTATTTCTAGAAACAGGAAATAGTGTTATAATACAAATAGAAAATATAATTTAAAAAAAAAAATACCCTTCTCACATAGGCTCTGGAAAAGCTAGTTAACTAATGTGTGCTCAAGGTTTAAAAGTATTAAGACCTTGAAATCACCAAGTATTATAAAATCTCTCTAACTTCAAAAGGCTGTTTTATATGATTCATATTGATTTGAAATGAACTAAGGTCAGAACACGTTGGATCACCCTACAGGAAATAGCACAGAAGTGGAGAGAAACATATATTGAATAGGACAAAGATCAGATAAAAATAAATTAATGAAGCCAGAAGTAGGTGCAGGGTTAATCCCTACTCCTTGTGCCAAAGTCAGCAAATGTAATGTCAATGTTACAGTCTACCCTCCTCAACTCTCCTGGCAAGAGAGTAAACAGCCAAAACCAGTAGAGATCTCAAGGCCTAACCTAAATGAAATGGGAATTCTCTCCGAGAACATCCTGCCAAATAATTTTCACTGTTCTGCTCAATTTACAAGAATATCCTTGCATAGAAAGAGTGGGCTAGATTTAACAGCTTGGAAAGAGAAAGGAACCCTACCCTTTCACACAGGCACAAAGCACACAGCCTATGAAACCAGGTATTCGAAAACATGGAACACAGGCAAGTGAAGGAGTTTATTTAAGAGGGTATAACCACACACACAAAACACTCAAGATCTGCCTCGAAGGCCAGATCAAGATGAAGGTTTTGAGTATCTGTGTGTGCATGTAATTAATTTGGGCATTAAATTTGTCCACCTTCATCAAGTATAATCCATTTGTGTAGCACATGAACTTGGAATGGCATGATTTACAGTATACGAACTCATCACAAATCACCCTGTAACCATTCTCTATTTAAAAGACTAAAGAAAACTGTTTATTTTAAATGTTAGTTAACCATCTATTTTTTTCATAATGGCTTACCACAAATTACTACATATTTTACTTTTCAGTTTCACAAAATCATGATAAAACAGCCCCCATTATCTAAGATCTTTATTGGAATATACCGGGCAATTTAAAATAACATGACTGAAAAAGATTATTCCAAAATCCACTGTAACAAAAATGACCACTGAAATCTAGTCTGAGTGAACTACACATCTCTAATGAAAGGCAATCGTGGTGTCAGGATATGTACTGAAACAACAGGCATTGGCAAAAGAGCTGAAACTTGCCTGGGACTTCGGATTTCCCCTTTAAGGTGTTAGAGTTATCCTCACTATCTCTCTGTGACCTCTGAATCCTTCATATGATTGAAGATCTTCTATAAAATCAAGAGTAATAAAGATATCCCTCATGCTACTCTGGTTTATAGTTAGGCTTTCCCTTGCAGTATGGGCAATACAAATCTGAACCTTCCAGGTAGTAGACCATTCATCTTCAAAATCCCCAGACAAGCTTTATTTTGTAAATAGTCCCTATAACTCTTCTATTCTTCACATTCTTCTTATATTTCCAATGCAGTATGATACCACGTTTTTCTAAACAAGAATTTGTCAAAGTGAAAACTTTTATATATCAGCTACCATTTCTTTCTGCTAATTACTAACATTGGTACAAAAGTGTTTCTGCATTTATTTTTGATACATTGTCATGGTTTAACCCCGGCCAGTAACTAAGCACCACACAGCTGCTTGCTCACTCCTCCACCCTCCCAGTGGGATGGATAGGAGGACTGAAAAAGAAAAGTAATATTTGTGGGTTGAGATAAGAACAGCTTAATAACTAAAATAAAATATAATAGTATTAATTATAGTAACGAAAAGGAATATAACAGAGAGAGAAATAAAAGAGAAAAAAAGACAAGTGAGGCACAATGCAACTGCTCACCTCCAGCTGACGGATGCCCGAGCAGTGATCTGTCCCTCCCGGCCAGCTCCTCCCGGTTTATGTACTGAGCATGATGTTCTGTGGTATGGAATAGCCCTTTGGCTAGTTGGGGTCAGCTGTCCTGGCCAGGCTCCCTCCCAGCTTCTTGTGCACCTGCTTGCTGGCAGACCATAGGAAACTGAAAAATCCTTAATTTAGGATAAGCACTACTTCATAACGACTAAAACATCAGTGTGTTATCAACATTATTCTCACACTGAATCCAAAACACAGCACTGTACCAGCTACTAGTAAGAAAATTAACTCTACCCCAGGTGAAACAAGGGCATACACGTAGAAATTTTGGGTAGAAACCCAGTGTATATGCAGCACATTCAGCAAGCAGCTGAAACATCTGAAGAGTTTTTGATTCAAACAGTAAGCTACAAACTGTACTGCCAACTCATATTTCTATTATAATTACACTTAGTTATATTTTTGCTTTCTCTAACATAAAAGGGATGGGAATCAGGTTCATCACCGTCACCTTGTTTAAAGCTATCTATACGCAGGAAACTCTTCTTGAAATCAAAAGTGAGCAAGTTATTTGATGATGACAAGGTGAAGTAACCAAAAATTTGGCCATTCCTATATATTATCAAACCTGAACTGTTCATCCAACCTGGACTTCTGAAGCTTTGCCACATAGTCTATACAACTAAAATAATTCATCTACCTATATCAAAGTCTAGTTCTGTCCAAAATATGGCGCTCTCATTATCAAAGTCCATGGGATTTATCCAGCACAGAAACCTAAAACCTCACTGAAAGGCAATACTTAAATGAGAACTTAGAGCTGATAAGTACAGTAAACTATTCACTTGTTAACCTTGCTATTGTAGATAGGTGGTAAAAGAATTTCAGTTTAAAATTTTGCTTCGTATAAGGAAGTAAAGACAAAGTTAATCAGAGGGCAATATATCAGGTGCTATTATATTGGGAGTGTCTATTTAACAGAGTAACAAAAGAAAATGACAAGCCATTATTATTCACCTCAGTAGTAATTGCCTGTGTACCATGGGTATTTTTTTATTTTTAGAATAACACAAGTCACTATTTGACTCACTGATAAATGCTAGGACTGAAAACTGATGCATATTTTCAGTGTCAGTTCTACAAACTTTTACGGAGTTCTTTAAATCATGACCCAGTAAAAACTGTATTTTTCATAAATACGAACATAGATGTATACCAGCTTTAAATTAACACACTATAGTCTGAATATATATATTTATATAAACCCACAATCAACAATAGAGTTTTCTGGGCTTTTTTTTGTGGGTTGGTTTTTTTTTGTTTGTTTGGTTGGTTTTTGTTGTTTTTTTTTTTTTTTTTTTTTGTTGTTGTTGTTGTTTTGGTTTTGTTTTGTTTTTTTTTTTAAACAGCATTTACTTTCCCATACAATAAACATTAAAGATTTTATTTTTTTCTACTCATTAGTGGTTGTAATAAAGCCTTCATAGAAAGAAACTGAGCTTCTGCAAAGGAAAGATCTCAGAGTTAATGGGAAATTTAATTTCAAATTTGGCAAAGCATTTGGGTATGTTAGTTTAAGCATTGCAATAAAACCCAATATAAACAGATTCAAAGATAAGAGGCATAATTCCAGATGCCATTTAATTATTTATGAGCTTGAAATTGAACACATGCTTAACTGCTTTTCTTAACTAATACTAGCATTAACTGCTTTTACATTAACTGAGGTGTCTTAAAAATATAGGAAGAAGTTTGATAGTTATTTTATACCTGACCTCTGTGTCATATGATAAAACTCTTCCTTACTGGAACAAAACCCATAAAAAGCAAGCACACAACTACATCATGTTGACAGGAAGGGTAAACCAAATGAGCAAAACTGATGCAATATTTTTTTAAAGTCTGAATTACAAATCCTCAAGTCATGCAAACTCATTGATCCCCCAAAATATTCAGATTATGAAATAAAGACACATCATTCCTGTAGAACAGGTGTAATGATCAAGAGCAGGTTTATAGGACACTACTTTCTGTAACATTCCTTCCATTGCACTTAAATGGCTTTTAAACTAATCATAAATACGATCATGAATATCAGCACTCAGAGTGGGGCCTTAAATTAGAGGGAAACATCTTTTTAACTCTACAGCAATGTAAAAGTTAAAAGATAAGCCATCCTTTGGGATACAAACTTAACAGAAAGGAAGAGAAAAAGAAAAGTGGGATTGACCAACTGTGTTGTTTTGTTTTTTTTTTTTTTTTTTTTTTTCATTAGTCCCTTATTTCCTCTCCTGCTGTTTTCATTTCCCTTCCATTTTCTTTCCTGCTGAACTCATTTCTTCCATTTGCTTTCTTAAAGAGTTCACTTTTTCTAATAATATGAATATGTGTTCTGCAAACTCCCGGACAGCTCCACTGCCACCACTGCTTTTACAGATATAACCAGCAGCCTTCTGAGCAACTGCGCAAGCATCAGCAGGCACACCACTCATGCCAGCTTTCTTCAGGCATTCCACATCACACTCTTCATTTCCTATGGAGAAAGGTGACAGACAAGGCACAATATCACAGAGGGGAAAAACTGAGCAAACTCAGTATTTTTCTGTCTACATATTAATCTGTTTTTCAAAATCTGTATTCTTGCCACAATTTTCATCTCAGCAGTTCAACAGCACTTTGAATATATGAGTCAGTGCTCAGAAAAACCTTAGTGATACATGTCAATACTTATCACACTTCACACAGTCTTCCGGCAAGAGAGTAGTAAAATTATATGGGCAACTGAACAAGCATTTACAGGACTATACACTTAAGCTGTCACTGAAAGATAGTTTTGTACAGAATCATATGGCTTTCAGTTTTAATTCTGTCCATTTTTCTATTTCTGTTTTGCAATTCAGAATATAATCTATACAATATCCATCTGAAATGAACGAGAATCTGTTTAAAATTGTGAGCTTTAACTGTACGCTTGTGTAATATCAAAAGCTTTCTTAAATCTCATTATAAAAACAGCTAAGACTTCCCTTACCAAATTAGACTCTGATTGACCAATGCCTTTAATAGAGACCATACTCTGATAAGCCTTAAAATACGTACCTGTTTTTTGTGACTGTGTGCTGTAATTTGCACACTGATTTCATTAAGTTTAGTGTATTAACAAAGAGCAAAGTGATTTGAAGCTGAGCAGCTCTATGAAGTTTGTATTTATGTATACTACATGAATTTTTACTACCAAAAAAAAAGGAACTAACCTAAGTAAGCGACTTCTTTCCAGCTCAAATCCATGTCTTTTTGCCAGTCCTCCAGGACTTGTAATTTATTCGTTGCACTAACTTTTGCTATACATCCCAGCTGCATGGCTGACACTGTTTTTGAACAATCTCTTTCAGAGATGAGTCGAACCTATTAAAATAAAGTCAAGTTAGAATAAATTCTTCATACAAAGAAATATGTAAGTTGATTTAAAACAGCTGAAGTTTTTCTAACAGAAGCTACCTCATATCAGAAAGGCATTGAATAACTGGCTTGTTTGATCAAAACTCAGAGCAGAAGTGATTTGTGTCCAAAACCACATTACAGTCTCGAAGTTGCTTTGGGAAAGTGAAACACCATTCTACAGGCTTCTCTGAGGTTCAAAAAAAAAAAAAAAAAATTACATTTGTCTTTTTAAATGCAACATGTACCAAATAAAACACTGGATATCACAGTACAGTGACACGTTGACTATCTAGTGCAATATAATGTAATTAAGCCACAGTAGGGAATAAGAGAATTCCCAAGGAAGATTTCTGTAATATTTGTAGAAGTAGAATATAATAAAGTATCTTCTGTGACTCTTCTATCTAATAACATAATTTTATTTACGGCAGGACTTCAAAGCATCAACAGAACACTAAACAAACTGAAGTAGCACAGCACATTAATCTCCTGAAGCTCATTCCAAATTTGAAATTTCAGAATCAATGTAAAAGGTAAGCTAACACCAGCAAATGATTGCAGCAGGATTTTTAAAAGTGTCAGACACAACCCCCCCAAGTTTTCTGTCCAAGTTGTGGACAAGCTTATCTTCCCTAATTGCTTTTAAATACTAACAAATACTCGGCACTGTTTTTAAGTACAGAATGAACAGGAGTGGTGCACAAAGCAAGAGTATATCAGTAACACATACCAGAAATACATAAAGTGCAGCACAAAGACCAGGAGATTTTTAATGAAAGATTCCAAGTCACAGCAAGTATGGAAATGGGCTCCCACGGGCAACAAAACAATGATTACAAGCCTACTCCTCTTTTTGTCTCACAGCAAAGGAGGCTGAGGGAGTTTTGAAAAACTATCTACTCCATTTCACTGCCCCAAGGCAGCATCAGCTGCATTGAAGTATGTCGTGAATATCTTGCCTAACCTGTTATAAAAAAAAAAAATAAAATCCTACAATAGAGACTCCAAAAACGTATCTGGAGAAGTCTACTTGGGGTATAGCTACCTTTGTCTTATCCATGCCTATATCTGCAACAGAACCAAGTTAAAGCTCTTTGAAGGCAGCCTAAATCGCTACTAAGTTCTTACCCCCCAAAATTTATTCTAGATATATCAAAGGCAGCAGCACAGACAGAAAATAACCAGGAGGCTAAATTTACATAAATGCAAGCAAAGACTCAGATCAGCAGAATTTAGTAGCAATAATAAAAATCAATAATAATAATGGAAGTAGCCATGCTATAATCCGTGTTGTTTCAGTTTTTCACTTACACTGAATTCTTACAACTTCAAAGCACGTAAGTTATGGTTAAAACAGCTATGCAGACAAAAGTGTTTGGGGTTTGATTTCCCTTCTTTACAACAATCATGGGTGATCTAGGATGAACCACATAATTTGACTGTTTTTTTCTTCCTATTCTGTAGCCAGGAGGTAACAACACATCTCTGCTTGGTAAAGATGATTTCTGAGTGCCTAGACTACACAGAGAGCAATACTCTTGGTGCTATCAAAGCACCAAAAAAATTTCTTCCCGCATTTTTTCAGGACAAAAGGAGGAAGATGCTATAGCAACTGTGAATGAGATTGAGAACTTTTTAAAAAAAACTTTTATTTTCCTCTAAGGGATCCAAGAACATTTGTCCAAACCCTGAACCAATGTATTATGCTGCTTGACCACAAGTACTCTGATGACACTTCCATTTATATGCTGCAGGGTTTTAGAATCTTTTAATGTTCAGGTTACAGCAGACATAAAGCCTCACACTTCAGAGCAACACTTACCTGGATTCCTCTTTTCTTTAATAGATCGATACCAACAATGTCTCTATAATCGTAGGAGACCATTTCCTTCTGATCTTCTGTCACATAAATGCGACCATTTGTCAGGCATCCATCAATACTGCAAACCAATAGCTTCACCTCTTTTAATGGCTCTTTGCCAAAATATCCAAAGCTAGACAAAGAAGTTATCATTTCAGGATGGAAGTTTCTGCACACTCCAAAACCAAATATTTCAAATGCAACCGTGATCTTCAGGCAGAAGAATCAGCTTTGAAATACTTTTTTTTTTAATGTCTTTTCTCATCATCATCACTCTCCAACTATATTCTTCCTCTTCAAAGAAAAAAACCCGGAACTATCCAAAAGACAGCTCCGTTACGGTATCCATTTAAAAATAAGGTTGAGATTTATTTCCTTAGCATAAAAGGTTATGTTCTGTAGCATATATTTGGGATAAAACCAAAATGGAGTAAAGGATGAAAAAGGCACAGACAATATATTCCTTTCCCACCCATTATTTCCTTAGAGAGGTGCAGAGCAGCTGCAAGGACAAGGCAGCTGGCAAGCTGTAATCAGCTCATGCCTTCTACATGAACACTGTCATGTGAATCAGTAAATGTGGTCCAGACCATGGAAGCCTAGGATAAATCGGCTAGAAAAGCCAGAGATGATGCTAAAACACTGCTATCATATAGTGAGGCTTACAGTTTTCCCCAAGTTGAACTTTAAGGGAGAAAGGAAAAAAAAAAAAAAAAAAAAAAAAAAAAAAAATATCACACCACAAACACTAAACAAAACATATAGCAAAGGTAATTCAGACAATTTCAACAGATAGGAAAAAATGATGGGCGGAAATAAAGCTGTCCAATTATTTTTGATCTTGATTACTTACATTACATACATGATGAACTCACATGACTCATACTTTGAAACAATGAGCAATATCAAAGAAATAAAGGAATAAAAAGTGCTTTTACCTCAATACTCTCTGCTCTGCAATAGGCCAATCAATGTCTATATCAATATCCACACTGTGCTCTGCGCGCATTTCATAGTAGGCCATTTTACCACCCTAAATAAAATCGAACCCATTAAAATTTTCTGTTTGGGTTAATACAAATACAAAACTGTACAATTTAGTACCATGTAACAAAAGCTAAGTATCTGGCTACACAGTGGTCACGATAGCTTACATAAACTGAAGCATCAATAACGATGTTTTTGCCAGTGACAAAGAACCAAGCATTTGAAACAACATTCTATAGGCAGTGGTTAGTATGTATTTTCATTTTGCAACTAGAGAAAGCACTCAAGAAAGATGTTATGCATTATAGTCATTACGTCACACTGATTTCACTAGGTCTTTTAATCAGTAAAATACTAATGCCTTTAGCATTTACTTAGTAAGAGTATGCTTATTTTTTCTTTGCTATGTACACAAAGACTTAATTTGAAGTGGAAAAATATCCACCACACCCCTCACCTCACCACAACTCCTCAGAGAGTTAGCAGCCCAACCTTCATAAAAAATACATTTTATATATATAAAACACAATTGTACTATCCAGATCAATGCTTGCAAGTCCACACAGCACTAGCTGGCACTGCATGGGGTCTATGCAAACTAGAGAGACCTAAATCTAGTATCTCTGCATTACTGAGGTATCTAGAAAAGAGAGAACGAACCTGACATTCTTGACATACCTAGTAAGGTATTCCCATTAGAAATATGGAAATATCTACATTGGTCTTTTTTTCAGTTCTGCTGACAAATACTGGAAAGGATCTGTAAGATGGAGAACTTGTCTTGCATGAGAAAACTAAGAGACTATACTTGGAGACAAACAAAATGAAAGCTGAAGTAAATAAATTTGTTCTGCATTACTACACAGGAATGTAAACATCAGAAAAGGGAAAAAGCCTGTTTGAGTACAAAACAGGCGTAAGACTGAACTGGCCAAGAATACAAGATTATATGAGGAGCCTATGACACTGCATGAAGGTCAGTTTCACACCTTAAGAAACACTAAAATGAATTACAAGATACACACTTACATCCTGATGAACTGATACTGGTTCAGGCTTATAGCTATCTACTGCTCAATATTATTTGTATGAATTGGTTTTCTGTGGAGGATGCTGTTACTGGAACTGCCCTAGATACAGTTAGCCCTAAGAAGTTACAAATAATAAGCAAGCTGTCCTGAGGTCAAAGTGCTGCTACTTCATACTGTCTTCATCAGAAGCAGAAATACATTATTGAATTCAGAACCCTCTATAACAAGTACTAAAACATGTACTGTTTTAAAGAACATGAAAAACAGAAGCACTAACCTGCAAGTAGCCTTTCTCAATCAAATGTCTCTTGGCAAAATAAAACGAGCCATTTTCATACAGCTCCCCAGGCCAATCTTGCCTCCGGTACCGTTTTGCTGGATTCAGGTTTTGTGGCTCTGTCATTTTGTTTTCTGTTAACAGAGAAAAATGACAAAATAAGTTTTCCAGAATCCCTGTTCAGTCACTTAACTTTCTTTAAATAGCTTTCTGTTGAAAAATTAAGGAGACAATTCAGTGACCAACTTCTTTTGTTATTGCCTCTTGTTGCTTAGCCTTATAGAGAATCAATGAACTGCTTCTTTCTTGGAACTGTGGATAACAAACTGGAGGACTGCCCTGCATTTCTAGCACAGGAAACGGAAATTTTTCATTCCAACTTAAAAAAACCCACCCGTAAACCTGAGAGGTCATCAGCTACAAAACTGGTTGCAGGGACAGGAACGGGGGGGACACATTATTCTAGACTGTCCTTGTCAATGTGAAAGAAATACTACATTCTTTCAGTACTCTATCTCCTAGTACATGATAGGAAGGGGTTTAACTCAGAGTGAGTTAACTCAGCTACCTACGTCTAAAACCAGGAATGCCCTGAATGAACTATGAGAGGACCAACCTGAAATCTGGAAGGTGAAAAAAAGACTATATGAGAAGAAATTTTGCCTGTGAAAACAACTTGGCACTTCCCCAAAATATTACCTATTAATGGATACACATTTTGTTAACTTTTCATACACGGTTTAATCAGTGTCCGCAAATAAACAAATAAATATCTTCAAACAAACATGATCCCATAAGATCCCACATTGTTATCAATGCCAGTAGTACATGCAGCAGAAACTGAACCAGGGACCAGAGGCTTCTGTCCTTATGCCACCCAAACACATACACAAAGCAGCTAAAATTCACTAGGTCTCATGGTCTCGTTCCGGGGCATTCTCAAACACACAAAATGTCCTAAGGCTTTAGTATATATACGTATTGCACTTCATAAATACACTAGAGCTTTGTGCTCAATGACATAAACATTTCCAGTCAGAAAGACACACCCTTCTCTTTCACAGCATATCTATATTAAACCTTAATGCAGAGGGAACAGCAGAAATACACAGGAAAATAAATAGAGTTCTATTAACATAATCAGTACCTTAAAGCCATGGGGGTGGGAGGGGAAGGAAGAGTACAATAGTAAATTGTATAATGCTTCTGTGAATGACTGTCACCTGAAACACCACACTCCTGAAAGGGCATTTGCTTTTACCCTTAAGCTACTAACGTCTGCACAATGTGTTCCTTGTTCTCCTCGTATATACTCCTTGCAATCAAATGATTCTTTATCTCTTGCTACATTAAAATATTTTGGATATTGTTTTATACTAAGGAATCATTTGCTCTTTTAGGTAGGCTTTGAGGCTTTTTTATTTTAATAATCTACCTATCGAGACTAGGTGGCGCACAATCACCTCAGAAAGACACATGGCACGTGCAAACGAGACAGCCTTTCATAGATGTCCATTCTAGCATCTCCAGTTGTGAAGTGGACTTTCACCTGGTTACCTGAAGTGCAATCCACAGAATCCTAAACTGTCATCCACGATTCTGATACCCCTCTCATACTTTATGAACAAACTATGTCATATTATTTCTCCTCTTATGAGGAACAATTAGAATGTTCAAGTTATTCCTTTATTCTAAACAAAGGCCCAACTTATCTCTAATACCAAGCTTCATTTATTTTGTATGGTCTATTACAGCACAATGCTTTCTAAACTCAATTTTTTTTTTCACCTGAAGCAATTTATCTCTCAACAGAATAACTGTAATGTCTGAGGAACACATCAATTTTTAAAAAAATACAATGGGACAGTATCTGAACTAACCATTTCTAGAAAAAGAAGCGAACATTTCTGCTTTAATCACAGAAACAAAACCAAAGTAGATAATGTGCGTAATAGTTCTTTGTACATTGACAAAAGGTACTTCTGTAGCTACAACAAGGTACAATCTTACTTGGAATTAAAGAGTTCAGTCTTTAGTCATCTTGGCAACTGTAGCCTAAAGGCATATTTTCTCTGGGAAAAATAGTCATATTCTTCTGTATGAGCCAATTAACATGAGTTCCTTATGACTCAAAGGCAGTTTGCAATTTGACAGAAGTCAACAGCTAAATTAGCAGGCTGAAACAAACCCTAAGACTCCAGGCTAAGAGGTTGCCATCCTATCCTCATTTATTAGCTACTGCATTGTAAGAACAAACTCCTTCCTAGTTAAGACAGGACCTTAGAGTTGCATCTACATATGCCTGAATACCCACCAAGCAGAAGTTAACACGTAAAGTTTTTGGGAGCTGTATTCTGTGGCTAGACAAGCTAATAACATTTTAATTTTCAATACCTTATCACTTCTACAAAACAATTACAGAAAGAGTGAGCAATGATCAGTAATATCAAAATAGGACTACTTAAAAAGAATTTCTAAGCCATCTCACACCTCTCCAAGAATTCAGCCCCTGCCTCTGATATCAATTCCTAATGTAAATATCATTGGTAGGAAAATAAACCATTTAAAAAAAAATTATTATTAAAGTATAACTTTAACCAGAAACAGCTAAATATTACCTCCTTTTTTTACCTCGCTCCATCTAAATTGATGCCGTCTCACAACAGAGAAGACAGAATCATACCCCTCCTTCTGGATCAGATCTGCCACTTTTATAAGATCACTGGGATGTAAACAGGGAGACGTTGCTTGGATATTTCCTACAATATCAACCTCTGAAGAAAAACAAACAAATATTTATGAAACAGTGAATATTTTTAATAGACACAACTACAAAGTGTAGTATGAGTGGATGCCACAAAAAAAAGGAGACTCACTCTCACTTTTATTTACTAAAGGCTTTACTTATTTTTCTAGTAAGTGAATCATCCTTCTGGGACTACAACATAAAAGCTCAGCATACTTCATTACTGATTTACCCTGATGATGATTAAGAAACTCTCTGATAGCTTCTAGAGAAGTTGAGGAGTCTTGAGAAACTTCAGGGCTTCTGCGATGAACTTGAGCACCAAACTGCTTTGCAACCTTCTCAATTTCATCATGGTCTGTAGAAACCCATACACTGTTGGCAGACAGCAACAGAAATTAATATAAAGAACAAATCCCAGCATTGTTGACTTGCCTTCCATAATCTAACCCAAACAACACCCTGGCTTACGTATGTGCTACACCCTGCAATGAAAGGAAATAGTTCTTGTAGTTGTTAGTAAAACTATCCCTGTCAGTCCAACAAGCAACTTTTAACAATAGAGATAAAAAAATACACATTCACTAGATTGTAAAATCTCAAGCTTGGTTTGCATTTCAGTTTAATTCTGTAGGATGCTTGATCTACCTTCCGTGTATGAAGCTTAAGCAACATAAAATTCAGAAGTGTCACCAGAAAAATCCACTGTCAGCACGCCACAATTTTGTTGGCATGCTAAGAGATCAATTGATTGTGAATGGGTTGAATGAGGCATTCATAATCATTTAAGAGTTCATAAACAAGGCTGACAACAAGTAAAACTGCCACACAGCTAGAAGATTAGCTTATTCTGCAAATGTTTTAAAATGCATTAATTAGGCTCCATACAATGCCAGAGAAAGAGCCGTTCAAATCACAATCATGTATGTTTTGGCACAGAAAACCTTCAGTACTGGTAAAGCAAGATTTTGATTGTTCGGAGATAATAAACATTTACAAAAGGAAGGGCTAAGTCTGAATATCATGTGATGATAAACACTGGCTGAGCACTGTGAGGCCACTGCTGCCATCACTGTGACAAAAAAGCACGTAACATATAAAAACAAAAACTATGAAAAATAATCCTTCTTCTCTCAGCAACACTGGCATTCTCAGTGCACTGTACATAGCAAATGGTGCTTTAGTTAGGTTTTTCTTAATACAAAGACATCATGGGATCATCAGAACAAAAATATATATGACAGTGACAGCAATGCCAAGTCACACCCATGTGAACAAATGCGGAAGAGGTATTTTCCATAAATCACTCCAGTCTGGTTAGCTTAAATATACACTCCCTATTCAACTAACAGAGTTTTGTTGCGTAACGTGTATCCTGTCAGCACAGCTGCTTCAAAGGTGACTGGAAAACCTAGCACACTTCCATCTAAGGCACCTGTTATGCCTCAAAGTTAGGCCACGTAACCCTAAATGGCTTCCTGTTTGGCCAATTCAGATATCAAATAGAAAATGAGGCAGTCACTCAAATCACCATATCCACCACTTGTCATTAAGCAATGTGGATTCACATGCATTAGGGAATTATCAGTAACCTAGGTCAGAAATGTTTTTGACTGCTTATTAAAATAAAACCAAATCAGCAATGCTTCCCTTACTTTTCAGGTACAGTGAAAAAAAAAATGAATTTCCAGAATAGATAAAAGGTACAGCAGCTGTAAGACACAGAAGGCTCGTGCTTACTTCCAGCTCTGAATCTATCTGGGCTACATTTCTACTTGACTACACCACGTCTCTGCTCTGAACATAATGCAGTAGGTTTGCATTGGGAATCTGCGCCACAGTATGCTACATACCAAGTGCATCCTAACCACATACTGGTTTTTATTAAGTTTATCAGTACGGGTGTAGAAAATTCTGTTTTGTTCTGACAGAAAAGAGCTATTTTTAATGCCCATATTCTTAACACTAACAACATACTTGTTTCTATCTAGCTTTAATTATCGCTACCAAAGCTTCATGCACTTTGCCACAAACTGAGCTTCTGTTGTGTCACATAAGCACACGCGATTATTTCCTTTTGCTCAACATTTATGAGACACCATCTGCTATGCTGTGTCCAGCTGTGGGCTCCCCGATACAAGAAAGGAAAACTGGAGCAAGCCCAGCAGAGAACCAGCACGATGACTGGGGCCTGGGAGCATGTGCCTGCCAGGAGATCCTGAAAGAGCCGCGTTGGTTCATTTTGATGAAGAGAAGGCAAAGGGGCGACTTTATTGCTATCTTCAAGTACCTGGTGAGCAGGTAGAGAGAAAACAAGACAAATTTTTCCTGGACAAGCACAGTATGAGGATATAGACATGTACTGCTAGAACAGAAGCGCCAGTTTGTTAATCACAAAACAATTTTTCAGCCATGAGGGTTATCAATCACCGAGCCGGTGCCTGCAGGGGCTGTGGGGTCTCCATCCTTGGAGATACCCAAGCTCAGCCCCACGCGGCCCTGAGCAACCCTAACCAGCCCAGCTTCACGCAGCGGGTGGGACCTGACGGCCACCAACCGCAGCAAGCCATCTTGTGATACAGTGACTGGCCGGAGATGATTACCTACAGCCCGGCAGTTTCATTTAATGCAGCCATGCCACTAAAGCGAAAACGTCAACGCTCACTGGTAATCATCATCAGCTGGTGGCTCCCTGCCACGAACCAGAAGAACTTTAATTTCAAATTACGGTGTCGCAAGGCTTATGACTCCTGCATTCCTTCGCAGCTCCCCCTCACCAGGCAGGGCCCGGGGAGCTCACGGCAGGGTGCGGCCTGCCCGATTCATAACCCGGTGCCACCTGGCCTGCACCCCCCCGCCTTCACGCCGGATCTCCTCCCACACACCCGCCTCGCTCACGAACCCGAGGGAGCAGCTTCAGCGCGGCTAAAGCCGTCCCGGGGGAAACCAGCCGCCCCGCTATCACGGCCTGCCGCCAGTAGTTCGGCCGGGACCCCAAGCCTCGGAGCCGTCAGGGAGAAGCCGGCTGAGCAGCGGGGAGGTGGAAGCCCCGGCAGCCCGCACTGGGAACCCCCCGGCACCCCATCCCCGGGCCGCACCCCCGCTCCTACCCCCCCCCAAATCCCGGGGCTGCCCGTCCCTTCCCCACCCGCCCGCCGGCGCATGCGCACCTGTGGAAGACGCCGGCGTCAATGGCGGCGCGCAGCACCCAGCCGACCAGCGGCACCCCCGCCAGCAGCTTGATGTTCTTCAGCGGGATGCCCTTGCTGCCGCCGCGCGCCAGCACCAGCGCGGCCAGGTGGGCGCGCGAGCCCCCCGAGCCCGCTTCCATGCCCGCGCGCCCCGGCCCCGCCCCGCGCCGCGCCGAACGTGCCTGCTGGGAAGTGTAGTCCCCCCGCGGGGCGGGGCTGCGCGGCTGTGGGTGGGTGTAGGGGCCCGGCGCGCCGCCCTTTTGGGGGGCGGGGGAGGGTGGGGCGTCCGTTCTCCCGCCGGGGAAGAGAGGGCACGGTTATCCCCTTCTTGGCACGGGGCACCCCGCAAAGCCCTGTCCTGGGCGGGAGGGAAGGAGGGCAGTCGCCCGGCGTCTCCTCAGGTAACTCCTTTGAGGAGGGATGGAGGGTCCCCAGCGCCCCGCGCTACCAGTGTGGCCCGGTCTCTTTGTTTAATACTTTATCCACTTAAAATAATAACTAAATAAATAAACAAACAAACAACCGGAGGCATAGCCGGCCGTGCGGGGGTTCCGCGGGTACTGGAGAGCCCCGGCAGCCGGGGCGGAGCGCACTGCGGCCTGCGTCTGGAGGGCTGCACAAGCACCGGGCGACAGGATTCGCTGGTTTTTTTTCGTCAGCCACCAGCATAAACCTTCTAACTCCAGTGTTTGGTTTTGTTCTGTGGTTTTGGTTTTTTTTTGGTTTTGTTTTTTTTTTTTTTTTCCTTGCGTCATGCCCTTCCCGCGTGAGGAGTCCCGGCAGAGGGCAGAGTAGTCACACCGGAGCGTTTTTTGCATGGGAAGGGAAACCTTCCTTCGCTTACCGCTTCTGCTTTCCACCTCCTAAAACAGTGCGTTAAAGCATTAAAACACCTGATGTTAAGTTATACGAACTTACCTATAGAAACCGGATGGGACAAAATAAAGTATTACACTGCCAGTATAAAGCTGGGCAGGAATTCGGTTTTTAATGTCATTTGGAAAACGGAAAGTAGAGGCTGTTGAACAGCACCATAAAGTTACTTCTGCAGACTGTGGGTCTCAGTCCATAATGGAAACGTATCACATGCAGTTCACTGAAGTCGTCCTTAGGTTATTTAAAATGCGTTCTGGAGCAGAAGGACTTCATCTACCACTGCCAAAGGAAACACTCCCAGTTACATTCAGCTGTAGACAGGCATTTAAGAAGAATAATTGTGTGTGTGGTTTTTTTCTTTCTGAAGAGGATATCTGTTTAAAGAAACCCAGCAGAGATAGATAGCTTGCTCTTCTCTTACGCAGATCAAGACAGAACCTTTTAGACCTCTTATTTTTTAGATGAGATTGAAACTAGTAACCCTACACTGTTAAGTACCATATTTCCTGCAGGTCACTTTCCATGCAATTAATTTTGAAATTTGTTTAGAGTTTCAAACCTTTGTCACATCTAAGCTCCTACCTGTTTAGCTAGTGCTAAACTGCTTCTGCCAGAGGTTACTGTGCCCACAACAGATCGAGTTCAACAAAATATGTGCCTGAACAACATCAACTTCAGTGCAAATTCTAGCGGTCTGGCTGAGAGCTGCTAACTCTGCTGTACAGGCAAGAATCTCCATGAAGGTCTACAGAAAAGTGCTGTCAGCGCTAACTTTGTAACCTGGGACAGCTTGTTTGCTAGACCCTACCTGTCAACCCTTTTAGACATAGATACAACAGGAATATCAGATGCCTGCCAAACTTCTGAACAAACACAACACCTACATGGTGCACTTCTGCTGCAAACTAAGGTCCTTTTTGTTGAGAAGAAAGATACAAGTCCTCCTGAGGGCGGCTTTATGGACTGACTTTTGCTCTAAATCATACGCTTTTGTGCAGTTCACTGAGAAATTCTTCTAAAGTTCCCAGAGATGGCATCTCTATTGCATGTTATGTTACAAAGAAAATATACAAGGCTTTAACAACTGAAGAATGAGAAATCACATGCTATATTAAATCCCTTTCAGAATTTCTTACATAACTGTTATGATATTCAAAATACCTACCTGTTAAGTAGAAATGGGTTTAAAACATCTGTATTTTGGTTCATCACCTTGTGAAAATTGGATGATTTATCAATAATAATATTTCAGCTACATAATTCAGTAATGTCAACTGCATAACCTTCCAGACAACCTAGCGATTCGTATGATAGCAAAGCTTTTCCTAATCCTTACTGAATCTTATTTTATGTAATATAAGTCCATTAATTCCCATTTTATCCAAAACAGATCTAGAGAATAGATTATTTCCTATCTTTCCTCAGCAGGTATGTGTGTATTTGAAAACAGGCACTCTCGCAACTCTTAGACTTTTCCTTTTCAGGATCGTACCCATTAGTTCAGTCTTTCTCCTAGTTCAAATCTTCCAGACCTCACCATTGCCATTATTCTCCTCTGGACAGCTTACAATGTTAGTACTCAAAATTAAACAGAATATTGCAAGTGAGCAAAGCAGGAGGATTACTACTTCACAGACCTTGAAGGTTGTACTCATATATACATCTGTCTAATTTAACTTTTCTTGCACAATACTGACATAGTTCAGAGAGTGATTTGCTATGACCTAAGATTTGTTTCTGCAAGAGCCGGTACATAGCCAGATACTTCCAACCCCTGCTTTTGCAGCTGGCTATATCTGCCCAAATGCAGTATCTTGCATTTATTCCTGCAAGAACCAGATCTGTCCCCACCTTAAAATATTTTCATGTAAACTACATTCCTCTAGTTTATTTACATGAAAGCTATGTGAGACCTTATCAAGAGTTTTACTAGGCTTAAGATATATGGTATCTACTCCATCTTTCTCTAGCCATAGGCCTGGTTTTCTAGATTGAAAGTATATTGATTTGAATTGTTCTAGGTAAATTTTTATTGACTGCTATTAATGGCTTTGTTTTCCTTTATGTGCTTACCAAAACTTGTTGGTAATTTATTGCAGCATTTTTTTCCCCAGGATCAGGTGTTCAACTAGTGGTTCAAATGCATCTCTATCAAAATTCTAGTTCAGATCTGGAGTGCACTTCTGAACTGACTCTCAAAGCACGTAAACTGTTACTGTGACACGCTACTTGCTAAAGCAGATGTAGTGGGTAGTTCCCAGGCTCTTCCTTTCCTCCCATTTTTAAAGATAGGGGGCATTTTATCCTTTCTAGCCTCGGTAACTCTACTTGTTTCTGAGATTTCATCAGCCAGCTGCTTCAGTATCCAAGGATGAAACTCAGCTCTGAGCTAGTTTGAGTACATATTACTCACCTAAATACATCCTGACTCATTTCTTCCGTATTTGTACGGATGTCTTGCTCCTGAAGGGACTGTGTGGGTAACAGCACTCAGTGAGATAAGAACATATGCTATTCTAATAATAGAGCAGCGGAGAGCAAAACAAAGAATATAATGCTTTCTGCTTCTTTGGAATATGTACCCTGTTTTATATAATCACAAAGTGGCCTGCAGGCACAGGTTTCCCAGTGTGGAGGAAAGGGTTTCAGCTCTCTCATCACTGCTGGCTGGCGCAGCACGTATTCCCATATCACATAGTGTGGTCAAGGTCTTGCGACTGTACAGCCTGCCTGGCCCTGGTCCTGTCCTGCCCGACTGTCCCTGAACAAGTAGGGCCAAACTGGCTCATTGCAAGGAAATACTGGTATACTAGTAAAATTAGTGGGAATAGATCTATTTTAAAAACATGTTCCATGCCATATGATTCCACTGGGGATAATAAAATCTGTGAATTTCCTTTCTGGCCACTGTTCAGTTGCTATAAAGTATCACATTGTAGTTTCTCTCAAGAAAGTAAGTCTGTTCATTCATGTCTGAGTGTAAGAGCAAATGAACAAAACTGGAGGCATTCTGTAGGTCTGTGCTGAAGTGTTACTGTGGTCACTGTTGAAACGTTATAATCTACTAACAGGGATCACATTGTGGAATTTAGGCTATTAATTAGGGAAATGTTTTTTTATGCTGTGTTTAACTGTTGTTAATGTGTATCAGGCATGGCTGAACATGCAACCTCACTAGTAAGGATGGCAGGGGTCTGCTTTCAAACTAACACCCCCTGAATTGCCAGTCATGAGATCTACCCTGTCCTTCCATCTTCTGAATTGCCAGTCTTGAGGTCTGCTCTGCTCTTCCTGACATTCACACTGTTGGCAACACTTGTCATAGGCTTTAAGACAAGGAAAGTATGTAATAGTTATTCTCTTAAGCTCACACTGGAGCTGCACGAGCAGACCATTGTGGTGTGCTGGTCAAAGCCAAGGGCCTTCAAAAACAATGGTAAAACAGCTGTTGACTTAACTGGGGCCAGGATTTAATTTTGTGTGCATGGAGTCTAATTTGGTTTACGTTAGTAAGGCTCCGTAAGTAACAGTGCAGGTGGGTCCAGTTGCAGGGTCCTGTCTTCTTCTAGGACATTCCAAGCTTAATGAATCCTACAGAAATAGATAAGAAGGACTCAATGGAAGCATGTAGGGGAAACCTCAGGGATATGCTACACCCAGGTAAACTAGGAGTTACTCTTTCTAGGCCTCTGCAGCAATAGGAAAATTCAGAGATCTAGATCTCCTTTCCAGGCCCCGAACCATGGATAGCTCCAGTGAAATCCATGGAGAGTTACACGGGAATCAAACCAATGTAAAGGAAATAAGGAACG